CCACGGCTCGTGGGCCGAGCCGAGCTCGAGCCGAGCTTGTGGATAAAAGGGCCGAGCGGGTTCAACTCGGCCCTAGAACTGATAGTAAATTTGGTTCTCTCGAATTTCTTTTTTTTTGCTTGCATCAAGATGCACTATATTTTTGAACACTAGAACTAAAAATTATCTCACATTAAATTTTCATTTTTCATACGCTTCTTCTTCATTAGATCATCAAAATTAAAATTTAAATAATTTTATAAATACTTTACAACTTCATATTTTTAATGCAACCAATAGAAAAATATATTTTTAATTCAATATTTCATAGTAATTCAAATTTCTCGTTATTTTCAAAGTGATCGACCATTAAAAATCAAGATCCCAAAGGATTGCTAAAGAGTGAAGATAATCAGGTGGTTGTTATATGAATTTTCATAAGAATAAAGATTGAGATTTTACCATTTATGATGTATTCCATAGTTTATCCATTTATGAATCCAAATCGGTTGGTTCGACTCTATAGTTGGATATGAAACCAATGGTTCCATTTCAAATATTCCCATTGGCATTTGGATCGTTCGATTCCCTTTAAAATCGGACCGAATCAGACCTTGACCACTCATAGATTTGAATTTCATTACATGTTTGAAAAACAATAACTTTTAATCAAACGTTCAAACACTTTTTAAATCCCCACTTTTTGTAGTCAACGTTTACTTAATGAATCATGCTACAGTGATATAATTCTTGATATAATGTTGACATAGTCGCATGGCATTCTATTATTAGATTATTTAAAATATAGTCAATTTTTCTATCCAATCAAATCCTACCAAGTGGCCTTCTGTCAAAGAATCCAAAAAGATTCTCCTATCGCTCAAGCATTTTCCTCACATATGTTATTCTACTTGTATAGATAATCTGTATATATAGAATGACTGTCCCTAGAATTCAAATCCATGGACGCATATTCATCTGCCAAGCTATCTGTACAAATTTTCTGTATAGGTAACAAAGTTCTGTTTATTTTTTTACTTTAAAAAGAAAAATCTGCTTAAAATTATGAAAAATGGTACAATTAAAACCATCATTTGTGAATAATTATCAGTATACAAATAAATAAATGTCGGTCATAGGCTCATAGCTGGCAAGAACTTATTTTGTAAAGGATTAAAATTATAGTTCAAGCAAGGGAACAGGGTGGATAAAATATTTCAAGTCCTCGAAGAAATAATGTCCATTCCCTTTAAGGAGGCTCCATTTACTTGTAATGTAAGCAAATTCCCAACTATCAATTGCTACAGCATCGTAGATATATAATTGATTAGTGAAAATCAATTATTTTGTGTTGAGAGTAAGTTATTTCAAGCAAATGTACAAGGAATGGATCTCACTGCCATTTGCCTGTCAAAAGTTCGAACTAGTAAGTTGGACAAAACAAAATTTGAGAAAGCAAATCAGAAAAAAATAAAATATCACGGGTGCCATTTGTGTGTTTGTTGGTGAAGAAGAGTACAGATAGTCACAAGAAAGTGAGATCAACGAACAACAAAGTCCATAGATGCACAATTTGACAAAATCAATGTCATTTCTTTAGCCAAAAGATGCTGTCCTTAGATTTTCATAGGATTATGTTTGAGACTAGTAACCACTTTAACGTGATCATAGGTAAACTCCAATATCTAATATGTTAAACTCAACACTATAGAGGACACAATGGACTAACATTTCACGTGCCTAGGTCAGAATTACTCCTTTTCACCCACCAAGTAAAATTTCCAGGGTTCTCAATAACCATGTACATGGGAGCAATAAACATTTTTTTTTTTTACCAAGTTAAATCGTCCACACCAGTGAACTGCATCCACCAAACATCCAAAAAAGGCTAATCCGTACTCAAAATCCAACGGCATGGTTGGTAGGGATAGAACAATTATAAGAAAATGAAAAAAGAAAAGTTAATTCTTATTTACTGTACTATTCAATCATGTCTGTTATCACGTACTGAACATGCCCAAATCGTAGTACACATGCAACACTAGTAGTCTCATATATTACCTTGAGGGGTTGTAACTTTTATGTCCTTTTTAAGGCAAGTGACCTCAAAAAGAATGGTGCATTCAGCTACAAACCTGCTGTCTTATTGCAAATGAAAATGCAGTTAAGAAAGTAGCATCCCAATAAGATGGGGAGGAAATGAAATCTAGTTGCACTAGAAAAAGATCCAATGTCACATAGATATAATATACAAGTGTTATTCACTATATGGGCGACGTGGGAAAACATAAAAAAGTTTATTTGATAAACAAATCCTGATTGGTTCTATAGTAAACTGTAAAGAGTCCCTATTGATGTGCCATCAAAGGGGAAGATGCATGAACCATATCTAGTGGTGTGCAAGTGGGGCCTTATGCAGGAATTATTTATATTAACTTTATCTTAGTAACTTTCCTATTTTGGCAGCTTTCCAATCAGAATTATTCTTCCAATTTTACTGATGAATAAAGTGCCATAACAAAAGTTATCCACAAACTATTAAATTGCCTTAAACAAAACCTAGTTGCAGACAAAGACAATGAATCTAAGGCATTTCATGACATTTTATAACACTGTAAAACCTATTGAAATTTTATTACCAATATAATTCACTTACTATGGACATAGCCGGAGGCCCAGAAGTCGGTCTAAAATCCCGTCCTACAGAGGAATTTTCAGTGTTCACAGTTTCTTTTTGGAATATCATGTACATTTGAGAATCTAACAAAAGATCTATCGATGACATGCAAAATAGACATGGCAGAATAACATTGTTCATCAGTATCCATACACCAAGGGTTTTTTCCACGGAAAATATGAGCACCCAATCCAATGAAACAAAATTTACCGATCAATTGAAAGAGACATCACTATATATTAGTTGGAATTTGGAAATCATGAGAATAAGTGAAAGTGATCGAAGTAAAAACCATAAGAAGAAAATTCTGCACAGGCTTACAAAATGAATAACAATAGCCAAATGCATGTACCAAGTGATTTGAAATTCAAGCAACCAAGAGAATGATAAAAAAAAGTCAATGAGGTAGATACAACAGGGAAGGGGGGGGGGGGGGGGGGGAGAATATATATTGTACATTCTGATACTATGGTCCACAACATTATTATTAAATTAAATATGAAAAAGACATTTCTTCAATCAAATATCAAAATCTGATGCCTAGTTGACAAGGTGTAGCATTCATCTAGATAAACCCAAGAAAGCTATGGGAGTAAAGATTTCATTCAGTCTTCCACTTCCTGAAGACTCAAGTATCCTTTGTCTTTATCGTCCATGTTTACTTCACTAAAACTTCACCAAAGTGACAGGCATCAAACCTTTTTTCGTGATTTAGTATAAAACAAAATCCACAAACAGGAAAAGAATTTCAAGTTGCATCACAAGTTCATGTATTGTACTCATTTTCATCTTGATAATTGACATCCATTCGTAATGCATTTGAAGATAATTTGGATTTTGGATATTTCATGTAAACTATTTCTATAAGTATGTTTATGAGTTTAATAATCTCAGCACTCCATTGGATGAATTTATAGGTACCAGAGACATCCATCATTAACCCTCCCACGACACCTTCTTTTTTTCCCCCAATATAAAGCATCCCCAAAAATAAGATCATTTGTATTTCATACATTAAAGAACAACCCCTCTTTGGTTCTCACATCATAAAACATCAGCTGCATAGTAAAAATATCGTATAAGAATGGGTCAATTATAAGTAAAATATACAATACCTACCCTTCTACTCAAGAGGGGGAATTGGGAGGAATACCATGGCTAAATGAGTATTTTAAAATGATAAAAAATGCGTACAGAGGCGTTTTGTCTCTTTTAGGCAACTCCTAAGCTTCAAAATAAACCAGTAATAATTCAAAACAATTATAACAATTCAAAATTGTGCACATAGCAAACTATAAATCATCTAAAAGATAATGATAAACATTTCGATATATTAGAAATCCATTTGCAAATAAAAACAATAAACCAACGAAGTAGTTTCGACATAACACAAACACTAATTGAAATTAGCTTTAAGTATGGGGGGGGGGGGGGGGGGGGAAAAAACA